TTTTGAAGTTTGGAAAGTAAATTGAGCACTTAGCAAATAATGTACATCCGGAATCCAAAATTCGAATGAACCACTACTCTAGAATACCTCGGAATTCCTCTCTGGATCGTATAATCATACCCCCTTTTATAATCTCTTGGAATTTTAGCTGCCTTCAACAATTAGGAAATATGAAATATCTTTAAATTACAGTGGGAAATAAGGGAAATAATTGAACTCCACTACAACCATAAGAATTTCTGAAGTCTCTCCATCTTATGAAAATTTATATGTGTTATTTGCATTCGGTTTTATTAAAAGAATTTAACGCAAAATTAAGAAAGTAAGTACGTAGAGGAGGTGAATTTTGTATAAATTCAGGAAAAATTACGATTTGAAGGATGATCTCACATTCGTGATTTTTACGGTTATTGATCCATCCAAATAGAAAATTATTACTCTATAAGTAGACTCAGTTCTAGTTTGGCGAGTGAGGGTGGCGGGGGTGGGGGAGGGGAGAGGAGAGGGGTTGGATCAAATTTAGTTGTGACAACGGTGGTACTGATTACGAAATTAGCCTGGAGCTAGTAAAATATTCAAAACATCACTTGGAACCCGGCCGCGTTTATTCGACTTATTTATTGCCATGTAGCTATCGGAATCCAATTGCTTCATGAGGTATATGATTTCACCAGCCTAAAAATTCAATGAAAAATGTGTTTATGAAATAATTTAAAAGTGCTCATGCTACTTAAATAACTAGCCATTTGGAGTGGTTTACAGTAAAATGGGTAGGAGAAAGGCGTCTACACACTGCATGAAGTGTGAAACAGAAGCAGAAGTGGAACAAACAAAAAAAACAAACAGTGACTTCACTACAACTTCTTCCATTTGATGCCAACATTAGTGCACCCTGAGGTATCAATGAATTGTGCTGTTTTGGGGGGAAGTAAAGGCACCAACAAATGATGGAATGGCTTTTAAATAATGGTACTCCTAGTGCCTTAATATCAGCTTATGACCGCGTAATTGTGTTGCAATTTGGACGCTTACATTTCTGCCCTATTGGCTCAAGAATTGCTGCGGTCTTATTCCGCTTATAAAGCTCTAATCTTGTCACCTTAGGTCGTCAAATTATATAGGTTTTAATTGCTTTACTTTAAATTAATGTCATTAGGGCTTTTAACTGGAAGGATTCATTACCTTAACTGATAGCTCATCTTTTGTTGAGGCAGTGAAATTGTTCAAAACCTGCGCCCTCGGTCGTTTTGTCATCGCCTCGGCTATTTCCTCGACGGATGTGAGGAGTCGAACGCAGCTACTAGGCAGGACTATTGATTCTCCATTCCACTGGAGACATTCAACCAATTTACCAGGTTCAAGTGATGCTGCAGTGTTCGATAAGTAGGCTGGATTGTAGTCAAGCCACTGAACAACATCGCCATTCTGTGATTAAATGCAAATATGATGAGAAAACTATGCCAAGAGCATAGGATTACATTTTTGATCTTATCAGGTGTAATGACCTTGTATGACGGGTTCACCGAAGTTTCCATCTCCGGAAGTGAATGGATCTTGAGCCAAACGTTCTAAATGATGACAATTTATTTAAAAATGGTACTTAACCAATGTGTGTTAAAATAAAGGTCCTCAATTTTCATTAATTTCAATTAATTGATTTATAAATTGTAATTATTTTTTAATTACAGTCATATCCATTGTCATTGGATTGGTTTTCTCAGCTTTCGGCCTATAAAAATCTTCATTACCTTTCTTCAAGCAATTATTCATCGTTCAACTTTATTTAAAAGCAAAACGTACGGGATTAAGTTGGCCTGAAATAAAAAAATATTTATTTTTTCTTAATTTTTGAATTAAATTATGAGCAATTTGTAACATACCCTGACCTCAGGTCTGAGAGGAATATCTGGGGGCCTAAAAACGCGAAAAATTAGGTAGATTCCACGTTTTAGTAATAATACTACGAATTATATTCATAAAAAAATAATATAATGATATGTATGTACAATGCATTCCTACCTATCTTTATTAACTGGATTTATTGGTTTCTAAAAATTTATTAAAACAGGAAATATTTAAGGGGATCTGATTTCATTTTAATAGTTTAGCTTATTTCACTTAAGTTTTCTTAGGTGCTAATACCTTTGTCAGCAATTCAAGGTCAAAACGAATTGAAGTCAATTAAATTAATAGATGTAGCGGCTATTCTCTGTGTGATTAGATTAAAAGAAACAGTGCTTTCACCACTACTCTTTTTCTCTAAAATATTTTTTTAGATCAAGTCTGGTTTTGTGTGAAAGACACGAATTGAGCGCATTAAGAGGTAGGGGTCGAAATCGGAAATTCCAGAATGTTCCATGGGGTCTTGGATGAGGATGAATATCTACCTTAAAATGAAGCGAATTTTGTTAGGCAATTCCAAATGCATGATTATCGAATATTTACCAACACGACATAAAGTGAGTATGTATGTATCATCCAACTTCTTCTAGCTTCTCAGTAACTCTTCCTACATACGTTTTAATTTTTAAGAAATTGTTGGAAAACTAAGGTGAATGTGCATTTACGATTGCTTAAAGACCTCAAACAAAAGACGAGGTTTTTTGGAGTGAGACTTACTTGTTTGAGTTTTTCATTTAAAGCATTTTTGAACTCTGGAGATTGCCCTAACAACTCATCTTTCGGTTCCAAATCAACCGACTCGTCAGTCCTTGAAGAGTTAGAAATGGTGGAGTCCCGGACGGACTGAGGAGTTGTATCAGAATTGGTTGATGAACCTCTTGGAAGGCCCTCTACCAAGGTAATGTTCCCCACTGGGACTAATCCAAGCTCCTCCGTCGTCAAGTTTCTGGCATAACAAGTTGTGTCATTCACCATCTGAATAATTTCCAGAGTTGTATTGACCTAGACGAAGCAAAAGAAAGACACACATTTTATATTTTATCGAAGACATTTCAACAAAATTAATTTACTTTAATGTCAACATATATAATACATAAATAAATGAATCCGAAAATTTGTTGAATTTAGAAAAAGCGAGTTACGATTGAAACGAACTTTAAGTTTTTTCAATAGGAGAATTAAATTTAAACAATGAGATTTTCGTCTCACCTGGAGAGTCAAATAATTCCGATCAGCAGATGAAAAATTACTTGCTGCAATAGCGTACTTATAAACCGGTCGACTAAAATTTAATAATAGAAAAACCGTAAAATAAAGTAATTAATATTATGACTTACACTGTTTAATTTGCGATTTTTAGTCATTTCATTCTTTTACTTTATAAAAAGAACTTAAAAAACGCAAATTCAACATTGAAATCACCACGTTCTCTTATTTAAACGGACTGCAAAAGAGTCTTAGTGCTGCAGAGGTTAAAAAAACAATGTGATAATGAATTTGAACATTGNTTTTTGGATAACTTTATTTCCACCGATATTAATAAAATAAAATTTTTATGAAAACCTATCTCATAGGCTAGCTTTCCCTGTTGAATATTGTCGGGCAGAAATCAAGGTCGAATTGGCTTGATTCGACCTTGAGATAAATATAAATTTCCCAACGTAGAAACTAAATCCAAAACAATCCTCTCTCTTCCAATGAATTGCGTAATTTTGGTTGATGATGAGGATGATGGTGGTGGTGGTGGTAATGATAAGTACAGTTAGTTGCATAAGAATGCTCACCTTTCAAGACCCGATTGCTAAAGTGAAAGAAAGTGCTTTCAGTTGATTACAATTGCAAATTAGTAAAGTAAATCACTGGTCTTCTTATTAATCGATTACATGCAATAACTCTTTTTACATTGCAGAGCAAAAAACGCAAAATAAAGTTATTTATTCGCAAACTTTGATATTCTTTCACTGAACCGCTCCATGAACATTGAATATTGCATATTCCAGTGTTTCCGCAATTAGGAATTTGTTTCCAAATGTCATAACGCATCAGGTACAAATAAGTGCAAACGACTTCTAAGAGGTGAAATGGATATGCGTGTAGCAGTCACTCAGTAGCATACTATTCAAATTACCCAGATCTAGGCTAAAGTGTTGAAGACGATTCCGAAGCAACCAATGCCTACATTTGTGTCCTTGGGGGACCATTTTGTGCATATGCGTCATTTCACAGTGTTCAAACAACTGCCAATGCGGAGACGCTACGTGAGCATTTCTATTTGAGCTTATTTTATCCATGCAATCGAGAGATTATCGTACTTTTGCATAGCAAGGAAAAAATCGACTTTCCTTCCTAGAAATCGTCTGTGCACTCTTTTTAGCTAAGTATTATAAATATATCCCATGTCCTTCCTGCATCTTACCCTTGGAGATCTGTAATTTAAAATGAAAGAATTTGTTACTTAAAAAAATTACCAAGGACACATTCATGTGCGATCTATTTATTTCCTCACCCCTCAGAATCCAGTTGACCAAAAGGCTGCAAAATCGATGCGAATACTCGTTAAATTATAAATTATGATTTAATAAACGCTTTCTTCAATATTTAGTCTTACTTCTTGAGGTCTGAAGTCAAAATTAAAAGATGGATATTTAAAAAATGGGCAAAATTCAAGTTAGTCAAATTAATCTGCTTACTGTGAAGTCTTGGAATTATCATATTCCTATAATACAAAGAAAAATATAAGTTAATTATTCAGTGAATAACTTTATCTTGGAGTTTGTACAGGTAGTTTGTTTAACTTACATTTTCAGGCCTAAATTTGAATCGAAAACCACATTTTACAATACACTTTATACAAACTAGCCCATTTTTCAACAAATTTGCTTACTTCTTATCTTGAGATTGACCCCCAGGCTAAAATAAACATAAAATATTTTATTATTAAATAATTCTAATTTATTTTATCTGACATCAAATTCCGTTTTCTTTATTAGACGAAATGAGGATCAGCAACCGATTGGTCAGGGGCTCAGTTAAGTCAAATTGTTTATAAGGCCAAAAAATCACGGACCATCTTTGTCTAGGAAATTAGGATCGCTGTATTGAGCTTGAATCTTGAAAACTAAACGAATCGACCAAATAGATGCGAACTCTTAATAGAATCTTTTTAATTCCTTATATTAATATTATTCCACGGATTAAATCCTTCCAAACCCATAGGTTGTAGTGATGTGCCAAAGCAAATATAGTTTTTTTTACAAAAAATATGTGCACATAGACCATGGATTTTATTTTTTAAAAAACTCAGCCAGCAAACCTTTAGATCCTTTTAAAAGCCGTATAGATTTCGCATCTTGAAAGTGATTACATTTAATCAACTTCTTCCATCGGAAACCCTCATTTAAAACCCAAAAAATTGCCCCCACTACTTGATTGAAGTCAAAATTTGTTATCTATCGCCACCATTTTCTAAAGTTGTTTTAATACGCATACCTTATTATTCTGAAACAGTTTACCTAATCCTTGCTCCTAGAAGTGTAAAAGAAGGCATTATTAAAGTTCAAAACGAAGCAAGCGATTTCAAATCTTACAGTTTCTTCAGGTACAGGTGTTGGCATGTAAACAGGTTGCAAAACTGAATCACTCTAAAATGTTAAAAGAAAATTGTTACCAATGTTTGTTTTCAAATTTTTAGTATTACTTTTCCTTTAGAGTTCTAGCAGACCTAATGAATATTTATTTTACTTCAAATTTCAAAATTGAGACAAAGACACGAAAGTACTTACGTCTCCTTTTGGACCACTAAAAATAATAATTTGATAACATGGATAACTTTCTTTTAAAGTGATAGTCTCCTTTTCCCAATAATTGCTACTTTAGATATCACAAAGTATCTTTGCTTACTACAAATTTTCTAATCCATTATCAATATTATCATCTAAAAAATTAAAAGAAATTGTAATTAAAGTACAAAATTCATAGACGAGTTACTTTTCTTTCGGATTCTACGTAGATGACTGAAAAAGCAAACCATAGCATTATTGATTATCCACGCAAATAAATTTGAATCTCAAGCCATATGACCGACATACCGTTTATCGTCCTAAAAGTAAATACTGTAGTAAAACCAAATAAATAAATTGCGTCAAAGTATTGATTTGTCAAAATATTTACCCTTCTTATTTTCTTCTCTTCCTTCTAAAGACAATATCAGCTTTACAGTTTGTTTCGGATTAATATTGCATAAAACAATTAAGTAAATTATTAACTGCATTTACTTTTAACATCGCACTTGAAATGCTGATTACGCTAATTCTGTAAGGTTTAAATATTAAAACATTTATTTTCAAGGCTACAGACGACGATTGCTTTTTATTGGTTATATGTTAAAAAAGCATTTCTAGTTTTGCGCTTAAATGATTTACTTTTATGAATCAGTGGAACCAATAAAGAGGAATATTCCTGCCGGATATATATAAGCAGCTTGGTGATTTGTTGATCCATGGGAAGTATTTATAGATATCTATTCTACTCAGGTATAAATTTGCGCACATTAAAAGTGTCGGTCTGCAAATTCTGCATTAGATAATCATATTATTAAGAGAGGAGCATCTTAAGGACATGCCAAAGCTGATTAAGCGTAGTCGTTAGATAAATATACCTTTTGGTAAAATCAATGCTCTCTGCAGTAATATTGACACTAGGCAACTCAAATAATAAAGAGGACCTAAATCTTTGCCTAACATTGCAAGAAGGTTGATCTAATGCTTACACGTTCTCAGAGCCATGGATATGTGGGGGGGATGCTTCGTAGATTTCATAAAGAAATCACGCGGCAAAGTTGCTCTGAAGAACACATTGTCCCTAAGATGCATTGAAAATAGCAACAACTCCCAACATCAGACTTCTTTTGAGTTATCCCTTGGCAAGGAAAATTAGCAAAACACATTGTGTTAGAGCATGGCCATGATTTCACAAAATCCCTATAGTTATGACAGCAATGACGCCAGTTTCTGTCTCTAATACGACAAATCATTGATGAAAAGGAGTTTGAACAAAAACTGTAAGGCGCAAATCTACCAATGGTTTCCGAATGTTTTTCAAAAGAAAGCAACGGTATTGCCCAATTAGTAGAAAAACCTGGCTCAATAACCAACAACGACTTTTAAAATGAGAGGGTCGATTTAGACGACACATCCAGAATGCCATCCTTGGGGTCCATTAATATACTGCTTGAAAAATAGTATGTTGATTGGGTTAAGAATAGAGAAGTTATTCATCCCTTACTCAGATCAAAGCTTCCGTTTGCGGGATGCCGCTTTGAATAAGTTACCTCACACTAGTTTCACTTAAGCACATTCTTTGATCGATTACACATATTTACCAATAATATCAATGTACCAACATATGATTTACTGAAGTGTGATGAAATTCGATTATTTCTCTTTTTCTCTTGTTAATGGCTTTTCGTATTTGAAACTTGAGAGAAGTTTTAAAGAAGATCCTTTCAGACGGAGCCCTGACATGATAGTAATTGAGTAAAAACGAGAAAATATATATTGGTTATTTTTGGCTAAGTTTGACTTTCTTATTCACTTGTTTTATTTGGCAGTGGAAGAAAGGCAATACTAACTTTATCAATTTCATGGAAATGGGGGATGACTTCGACCACCGTAAATCAACTTGTAAAAATATTTTCATACTTTTTATTTATGAATTTCAAACATTCACGATGCTAGAGTACAGATCTGAAAATTTTGGCAATTACACTGTTGATAGGTCAATATTTCCTTCTCTCAATGTGATTTATGCTGCGTTAAAAATCAATTCCTAAAACCATATTTTTCGGTAGCACACAGTCCTGCGTAATGAATTGTGAAAATTTGAATAAAACGTAATATCGAGGAAGTATGAAATTAAAATAGTACTGGTCTAGATATTCCTTTATCTTTTTCCTGACTTTTATTGTAACATACGAGCATTAAATTAGCATTTTGTAATAAAATTATACCTGGGCAGCTTCTGCGTAAGATCCTATTCTTAACAGACCATATATGTAAACATAAAATAGATTATTAAATCAGACAAACGATGAAGCAATCCATTTCGTTTAACTATGTCATTTATTCCAAAGTTTATAAATAAATTTTCGAGCTTCAATTATTTGAGGGGGCGTTTGCTAACCAAATCATTATTTTAAGAATCAATTAATCTTGCTATTTTATTTAAAAACTTAAACAAAGGAAATTAGAAATGCTAAATATGCCGTTTAATTAAAACGCGTAACTTAACAAAGTTTCGCAAAACTATNATAAACTAAGCAACTATAAAATTAATTTAGATTATTCGTGAAGACGTTTACGGCTCGTAATATTTCAGCAAATCATACAAGTTAGCACATTTTCTGAAAATTTAGGCAATGGTATGAGAGAAGCTCTCAATTCCTGAGCCTTATTGGACATCAAAGTTTTAACAAATAATTACCATAAAGTCATTTCATTTGCTGCGAAATCTGCTCACATTAAGACCTCTCACTTTTGTTACAGAATTGGTATTCATTTAAGAGAAGGAATACTAGTATTTAAGAATCCTGGAAAATAGGTCTAAATAAATGAATAGTTGCCTTCTGTTTAAATCTTGTATTAGAAATATGAGTCGCAAAATAAAGTATAAAGTGAAGTCACTCTAAAGACGAAATATAAAGATATGAGATCGCTTTATAAATCAAATTTCACGTACTTTTGGATCGTAATAAATGATTTCTGCGTCCTCATAGCTACTTTGTAGTTACCAACTATTCTTCCATCGTTAATAGTGATGGAAATATTTCAGAAGCGTCATCATGTTAATGCATTATTTGCACTTAACTAATAAATAAATTTCGTCTATTAGCTCATTGTGGAATGTAAAATATGCGGCATTCTTTTCATACAGTCAACGAAAGGCGTCATATACGAATTCTCGGGTGAACGCTCTCATGTATCAAATTATAAGATACTTATTTCCCTCAAGGTAAAGATGCTTTCTCAAGAAAACAAGGATCTAGTTTAACGTCGTTGATTGGATATTCTCGATAGACGACAAAATAACATTTAACTGTTTAAAGCTCCAGCTGTTTATTAAGAAATCGAATGTGAATCAGAATTCCTTGCAGACACACCCGTGACCCCAAGCCCATGTCTAAAAAATTGACAAGATTGCAGCCCGTAATTATTCCAGCTTACCGATTATTAGACCAGCAGTTCTGTTTTTGAGAATTGGCATCTGGGTATTAAGCAGCTATTACCACGGTCTTGTCGTCTATCGTCTTTTAAAATAATAGAGCTAATTGATTTGTGCCACAAAGTTGAAGTTTTCCAATAAATTTAAAAAGATGCCATCAATGCTAAATGGAAAATTGGGAGCGGCTCTTTTCATCGGATGATCAACGTGACTAGAAATCAATAAGTCACATTAATTCTATTAAGCAACCTGACAAGCAAACAATGGCCTGTAGAAGACCCGTAGACGAACTTGCAGACGTACCCCATCGTAACCCAAATGGACTTCAACCTTGCATAGCCTTCCCGGAAGATTATATTAGCCCAGGAAACTTGCATTACAATGTACCACCCATTCCCGTAGACAGAACTTATCCCCTAAACACAAGTATAATGCCGTGGCATGGCTACACAGGAGCCAAAGGCCACTTCAATGAACAAGTGATGCCAAGTTGGGCGGATCAGTACGTAATTAATGATAACGAAGTGGGTCGTAACGTTAATATCGAACAATGTAAACTGACCCAACAAAAGGAATTCGTTCAATCTAAGACCTTAAAAAGGAAACTATCTGATTTTCACCAAAACGACAGACTATGATACATTAAACCAAGAAAGTGTTCAGTACATTAAGTAATATATTCATTTGAGAAACAATCAGGAAATAGCTTATGCACCTGTCATTGAGAAACTGCTTTGAGAAAGATTAGTTCTACTTTCATATTGTTGTCTGGTTGCGCGAATAACAGCTAGCTGGTCAAGAGAGTTAGTAAGTAGATTCCTAGCGGTAGATAACTCCAAGGGTGTGAGTTGTGAAACACGAGCAGTAACAGCACCACTGAGAATAAAACTGTTTACAGATGCCACAAATTTCCCCACTCGAGCGTCCCAGATGTCTTTAACAAGAGTACGAATTTCTTCACGGCTAAAGGGCAAAGATACTAGTAGAAAATGCTTAAATTACTCTGAAATATCGTCTGAGGCATGCTGGAGAAGGAGAATTGCCAATTCCGCATAATGGGGATGGGGAGGGGTAGTGCAACCAGTATCGTTGTCTTCCGCTTCCTTGAATTCAGTTAATCTTGTTAATGAAAACCACGAAGGAGGCATTATGCGGCATTTTTGCTGCTGGCGAAGAAAGAATGCGATCCAGTATGGAACATCAACAGGTACATTGGGTTGAAATGGACCAACCTTGTTTCATATAAGAATAACTTTAAATAAAGTAATTGTAAGACAATTATGATAAAATAAGCGAACAGCACCAAATACCAATTAAATATCAAGTGACAAGGATAATGAATAATATAGAAAAAATACAAGAAACTCCGACCTGCAAATCGAGAAGATCAACAGTTTCCATTCGAACTCGAGGTATAATAGTTACGAGCTCATCCTCAGCGATAAACTCTAACTCAGTAGGATCCATTTTGTAACAAGCGCTTTTTACAAAATATTCTATTATGACCAGATTAAAGCGAATTTAAGATTATGCAAAGAGTATAAATTATTTGGATTTTCATAGGCATGAAATGCACTATTATATTCATTTCAATACATTTTTTAATTAAAATGCGTACTACCTAGATTTTAAGTGTGATATAATCAATATAGATAGATGGAGTGACACTGAATTAAACGCTTATATTAACTGAAATTATCAATTTAAGCAATTATTTAGACAGTGCTTGCATATTTTATTCTATTCTACGAAAACTTTATACTATAAATTTTAATACGAAACTCACCTATTAATTTGACCCATGATAATTCAAGGTGAAACTAGAGAATTTACGAGTTTGGTGGCTGGGAGCGTGGTCAGATATTTTGCTTTGTTGAGTTATAAATTTGGATTATCTTAAAGACGTCAAAAATCATTTTACTATTTTTTATGTCTTATATTCATTCTGTCAGCATGTACTTAACAGCATCATTCAAGATTGGCCTAGTTTATGTTAATAAATGTTCCAACCATTCTCCTTTATTAATTTAGGACAATGGAGGCAAAAAATCTCGTTGGACTTCGTTTGCAAAACTGTGAAAGCCTTCACAATCAATTTCAGATTAGCTCAAAGGCTGGGTAAATCCTATTTTTTTATATTTTAGTCATAATCATAGTTTCTCCTTTGTTGGAGTTGACCTCTTCCCTGCTTGCAAAAATAAACCAAAATCGTGCCAAGAAATTGATGATTTGCTCCCATTTGTTGGATCAGTAGATGTTCATTTCGAGAATGGCTTGTCCATGTCCGAATGCACTGTAGGATACACATCAGGTTGGATAGATTGCGATTGCCCAGATGAAGGCCATTCATTTATTTCCCAATACGCCCTGAAAAAGGAGCTCGCTTGGGCCGCCCATCTTTCTCTTTCCGCCATTCATATTCCTCTTCGGCATGCCAATAATGTCAAACTGGCGCAACTTTTGACAGCATTTATTAAATCCCAAGTGACCCCATCTCGGGTTCGTTTGCGAATTACAGTTTTTAATAATGATGTATCTCTTTAGTTTTGGATCACGGTTCCAATGTGTTTGCCGACTCGCGGTGATTGTGAAGATACTGGTATGTGCATTTTCCGACTATATTTTTTAACTGGAAAAATTTTGACTGGTTTCATTCTATCGTAGGAGGAAGTCTGATTACCCGTTTTTAACCGTTTTATTTTTGACTGTCATGAGTTAACTATTTCGTAATGACTACGAGTGATGGTTAAATAAGTTGAGCTTCTGTAAACTCTATGATCGAGATTAAAATTTTTAGGAGTTTTGAAGCTGCTCTTACCAGTTTCCTTTGTCACAGTGATGAATTATCATTTCTCTTAGCAAAATTGAAAAACCTGTTCTTTTTCAGCGGGGTATGCTTTCTAACCTTGTCTTAATCTCTCGTTAATAGATCCTTCTTCTCAGGCCTCATCACCATGGCACTGGTGGAATGAGTTAGTAACTTTGGCGGGTCCAACCGTGAGTGAGTCCCTGTTCCTTGTCCTTGAAGTGACCCCCGACTTACCCGAAGAGAGTGTAATATCCAGATGGATCAGTGAACCCGTGGCTGCTCTGGCCCTTTCCACTAACCTCTTCATCTCTAACTCCAAGGGATTCCCGATTCTTTCCCGTCCACATCAAGCCATTTTGAGGAGATTTCTCAAGGCAATTTTTTCTTTATAGTGTTATGCGTATTAATCACAATCTTTGTAAGTGTGATTAACATTTATTTTAGATGTCCAGTCTGCTATAAATTTATTTAAACCGATAACAGATTCCAGCCTTCTTTTAAAGTTAAATTAAAGAAAGCCAGTCACAATTGAAGTAATAGTTTGGTTTATGTATGACAGCGTTACTTTGTGATAAGGCTATGGAGTGCAGTAACGTACTTTGTTCAGCTGTGCTTCAAGAAGTTGTGTCGCTTGATGTTTACAAGTTGTAAGATTTTTATTTACTTGGGCCTTTTTACCTCTTATTTTCTCCCATTTTAGCTAAACGCTCAGGTAATTTTAACCGGAGAAAGCTGGCATGAACGAGGTCTTGTCGTCTATAGGCAATACATCAATTGGATTTGGAAATGCACTTGTGAGGCTAGATCTTCATACGAGAAGCAATCACTAGGCTATGAAAATCGGCTTCAGGTTAGAATTACAGTTCCATAAATGGTTCGTATTTCACCGTTCACTATTTTTTAGTTAAGCAGTAGATTAAATTTCACACTGTTTATGTGTAATTTACTTATTAAGCCATGTGACTGCTCCTTCATCTTTAAATAAACCCCTTTTATGAGCATTGAACCTCGTAGACAAGCTTTTGCTGCAATCCAGTGGACGAATCGTGAAATTCGACTTGTGGAATCGTAGGGTGTTCTGCAACCCTACGAAACAAAAACTATTTGCTCTCTCTCTCTCTCTGTTTCCTTTTCTTGGTTCCCTCCGCGTTACTATTTTACTGGACTTTCCGTACTTTGATTAAAACTGTGAAATTTTCTATTGTTATCATGTCTGGGATTGGAAAGACCGCTTATTTATCGAAGATACATTTAATTATTTCGTTATATAGAATGGAGTTTGGGAAGAGTTGAGAAGTGGGATAAATTTACAGGAATGGTTGAGAGTCCGAGGGCTTTAAAGGCAATTTGATATTCTAGCCAGTAACATGAGGGCAATATGCATTTTGCTGTCAAAAATTCAGGAGTAAAGCCGGACACTTTGCCAACCTCTACGTGCCCACTTGTCGGCAGCCATTGATCACACTTCAGTTCAACTTTGTTTCCTTTAATTTGAAGTAACTTCCCGACGGCAAAGCTACCTTTCAAATTAGACCGAATTATGTTTTTTTCAGATCCCTTCAAAATCTAATTGCCATCTTAGGATTAACAGGGTATAACAGCCTTTTTCCATATTTAAAGATCCAGAGATCGCCAGGGACATGGGTAATTGGAATTGAATGAGAGGGGGAATTACGGCGTGTATAGGCGTCAGTACTGGGTGCTGATCACTGAGGTTGCTTGACAAACTTGAGTTCAATGAGCAACTAATCAAAGTCAACGTGTCTGGAGGTATACGCATCTACTTATACCACTCTTTTTGGCATATTTTTAACTCAAGTAGGGAAAGTATGGCTCTTTCCTCTGTCTAATCTTTTGTTCTCTGCTATCGTTTGGTGCATTAAATTATCTATTAAATCGTTGCATTTCTCTTGCCCTTTCAGGAGCCTCTGCAACCACTGCAGGATAATCTCTCCTCAGCCACTTATGATGTCTTCCAAATGGATCCTTATAAGTACAAAGCCTATGAAGAAGTGCGTACCAATGAGGTGTTTTTGCTCACTTCCTAGTCTTCATTTCGTGTTTTCTAATTTCTGCTCTTCTTCCAGGCGCTTAATCTGGCTTTGCTGTCTCGCTCCAATCCAGGAGGCGATGGTGTAAATCCTGCGGTCAATAAACAAGTTAGTTGCTTTTTTATCGGTCTACCTGAAAGTATTGGTGTTTTGGAATGGGCTTAATGTTTATTATTATTATTATTATTCGTCCAAGTGTTTTTTTCTCTTAGTGTGTCGTATTTTTAATGCAAATGCTTTTAGGCGATTATCAAAAAGACGAGACGGATATCTGAATATATGTAGCTTAGAATCTTATTTAAAAGTGAATTATTGGCATATTCGGCCATTGGAAACGAAAGCAAGTCTGCATAGTTGGTGTAAGTTAAACAAAAAGTAGGTGATTTGAAAGAGAATGCAATATTTTTTCGGTATACTGTTTCCCTTGAGCACTGATTTATCAATATTGAATCTCCATGCTCGGGTCTGGGGAAGCAATCAAGCCACTCCTAGTTAATTGCTTATTATTTATTCCTATTATTATTATTATTAAACCGGCCGTCATAAATCTTGCATGATCTTCCTCTAAATTGGTAATGCTTGTCTCTATTTGCCTACGAAAAGCCGGTGCATAACAATAACACCGCATTATACAGTTCTTCAGTTGTTAAATTTAAGATGGATTGTTAATAGTTACTCTAATTGCGTGTCTCTCCTCATGCCCCCCCCCCCCCCCCCACATAGATTATCTACATTCTGGGTGCTGGTCAAGGTCCATTTGTTGACGCCAGTCTTCAGGCCAGTCGTCGATCAGGCTGTCCTATTCGGATCTACGTTTTTGAAAAGAATCGCAATGCCCTCCTTACTCTCAAGGTTTGTTTTGCCTACATTTATTCAAATCACTGTGCTTTTATTACCCTACAGTACAAACCTGAAATATGCTTTTATGGGGTAGATCTGCGTTAAAGGAATAATTTGCCTCGTGTAGGTAACTGGGAAGCCACGTCGGTCTATTGCCTCAAGGTTTAAAGCGTGTGTATTTATACACGTTGTTTCAATGTACTCATCTGAGGGGTTACACGTCCAGTGATGTGGCTGGCCAATAGTATTTGTTGAATCTAATCAACAAGAAGTGTAGTGGAATGCAATTTCCTCATGAGTATATCTCCAGGAAATCTGCTGCCTACTTAATTTTAAGGTTCCCTAAACGGCCGTGGAATATTTTATTTTTATTATAGTTCTGTTAACGTCAACGTACAGCACACGTACAACAGTTGACTGTTTCAATATTTTTCATTATTCCTCGTACTTTAGCAACGACTTCAAACTGAATGGGCAAATGAAGATGTCCACCTTGTACCCGGTGACATGCGATGTTTGGACAAGCCGCCAGCAGAAAAAGCAGACATTTTTGTGAGCGAATTGTTAGGGTCCTTTGGTGACAATGAACTCAGTCCGGAATGTCTTGATGGTGCTCAACATATGCTCAAAGGTGAGCAATCTGTACAATACTTTATTTATTTATTTTTGATAGTTATAATTAGACCTTTAGTTGACTTCAGGTTTCACAGAGAGGATGAGAAACATCAAAGCGACAAAAAGTCGAGAAGGGGGGGTGGGACAAAAGAGTGTTTTAACTATGTAAAAGAGACAGACACAAAGGTAGATGAAAGGTGATGTGAGTACTGTGAAAGTGGTCAAATATGGCATACAGTGGGGTCATGGTAGATTGAAAGAGAAGTCGAATTTGACATACAGTGGGGTGATTGTAGTTTGAAGTCATGTCAGCTGCCGGTTAATAGACTTTTTTGCCGTATGAGTATGCGTTTCCCAGGGTGCACCACGTGGAGGTAAGTCTATCACACACCCCATCTGTACAATACTACAACTACCTATACTTTGACCTTTTTGAAGCGAAATAGTTATCTCGGGCGCCAAGTAGATTATCTTTGCTTTGATACCTGAGTAGCGTGTTGGTCATTGCGCACGCCGCCTCCCATGTCAGAGATTATGGGTTCGATTCCCTATCAGTCCATAACCGATCTTGCGATATCGTCAGGTCAAAATTGTAATACGCTCGTTGGTACAAATTAACACTGTCACCTGGCCTCTTACTGGGATATAAATCCAGAAAGAAAGAGGTCAAAGAGGGGCAAAGAAAGCGTGTGGTGTTTTTTCGCCTATATAAGCAGGTAAAATTCTTATCCTTCCTTCCTGGATGCATTTGGGTAAAACACAGATAGAATGAAATCTGGTTGCTGATTCGGAAGTAGAACCTTGGCTTTATTTTTATTCGATTTTTATTTTGTTAACAAAGAAAGTAAGACCACGAACACTAGAATTTTATTTAATGTTCATTTTGTGCGAGTGTATTCTTCTTCGGTTTCTCGAATGGGCATTGTTATTAGAAATCACGATCTTTGGTTTCGCAACGATCCTGCAACTAGCTTCCAATGCGTTGTAGGGGTCGTTTCGGGAGTTACTCCGTATTATCTCTCCATCAACATTTTACTCGAAATTGGCTAAGGCAAGAGTCAAATATGTTCTATTTCCTAAACAGGATCTGTGGAAGTCGTTGCTGATTAATCCGTAAATACTATTATTCACATGTCTTCTTTCACTATTATAGCCGAAGTGTATCAGGGACGACGATTATTTATAAATAATCCTTTCTATTTCAGATGGTGGTATTAGTATTCCTGCTTCCTACACATCATATATTGCGCCTCTTCAATCCCAGCACATCCACATCAATGCCCTGCGAGCAGAAAGCTATGTAAGTTGGCATCTAACACCACTCACCTACTTTTTTTCCCTACTAACGCGCACCCCACCTCTTTCCTCTGCAGTCCAAATTCAGCGACCGTATACAGGAGTCCTCAGAAACACCATACGTTGTGCGACTGACAAACTGTAAAATACTCGCTGCACCACAAGAAGCATTCACCTTCACTCATCCCAGAAAGGGTTTGTTCGCCCTTACCCCACCCCTTTCATTCTTCTGTTTTTTTAATAGATCTTGCGACAGGCTCAAACGAACGCTATTGCACTCGTACTTTCATCTCCAACGATGATGGTGTCATCCATGGAATTGCTGGCTACTTTGAAGCTGTCCTTTATGAGAATGTTACGCTAAGTAAGTCACAATTTTGCTTATAAAAATAACGTCTCACATCAAGGCATTCTTCCAGATAGACATAGTCCAAACATGTTCTCATGGTTCCCTATGGTTTTCCCACTGAATACTGCCATTCCCGTGAAAGCCGGTCAGGAAATCAAGCTTCATTTATGGCGGTGTGTTTCCCCACGCCACGTTTGGTATGAATGGGCCGTTACAGAACCTCAAACATCAAAGATACACAATTCTGCAGGATCAGCCTACAAGATCGGCCTTTAATAAAGTCGACCGCGTTTTTTGTAATAAATAATAATAAACACCTATTTTAGTACTAACACTTCCCACAATCATTTACTTATAAACTTGTTCATAGATTAAATTATGCACTTGTATATTAAGCTTTATATGTGGTAGCTATATTGGCCATAGACACTTATTACGTGAAAAATTTATACAAGAAAGTATAAGACAGTCATATTATTCAGTAGCCGATGACACTTCCATTTGCTCTACTTTGGGTTCCTTGGTGGTGGTAGAAGGGGTTTCTTTCTCTACTTCCACTGCAGTAGTAGAAGTAGTTGGAATTTGAGGATCTTCTGGAATAGAAGGCTCGATTGTTGTTTGGTTGGTTTCAAACACTTGGTCTACAACAACTTCGGGCTTTAATTCATCGCTCTGGTCTGCTACTAAAGCTGGGGATTTTTGGATTTCTTCGCCGTCATAGCAGCCAGAATGGTGTTTGAAAAGAGCCATAATTGCTTCAATCTGGTCTGGGTTTCCGTTTTCTTCCAGCCACTTGGCTTGATAGGCACGGAACCTCTCGGCAGCTTTGGGCATTCTGTCTGGTGATACTATGGGACGATTCTACAGTTTGAAAAGAGGTAGATTAACTGGAATTAAATAATACAGGAAAAGTGTGCTGAATAAGGTGGGGGTAGGAAGTTGAGTGTTGGGAATTGGCTCGTAAATTGCTCACATAAACATGTGATTACAGGCTAAGGTTGAATTTAAATGACGTGGATAATTATTTGGAGCCAAAAATGTGCAAATACTTGCATTGATCGCAGTTGACGGCCCCGATGTCCACTGTTCTTAGCTTAGATTCCCTTGAACATAACAAATTACTTGACCTCACAAAGGTGCAACTGGAATACTTGGGAGTTGGACTTCTAAGATCTATACATTATGCAAATTCACTTTGAGGCTTAGGATTAATACAAATTCTACTGATCAGATGTCATTTACTTAAAACAGAAGCACGTTAAAACGTACGATTATTGGCAGAAAATGACTCCTCAGAGAAACCTTATAGATCCAAAGCACCACACGTGATGTCGCTTAAGGGACCCCAGGAAGAGAATTATGAATAGCGAAGAATATAGGTACAGGAGATTGAAGAGGAAACGGTAGTCTCTTAAAGAGGAATCTGAAATTGTGACTAAAAAGTAGGGCATAATTAAATGTGCGTGAGTCGGAACATGGAAGCAAATCGATGAACATAGGGGGTCAAGAGACTACGTTTGAGAAACAAGGCATTGCATGCAAACATTGAAAGGTAGCTAGAAATCTAAGGGAAAGTTACTTTGGGTATCAACAGAAAAATGTGTGTAGACTCCTTTCCTTCAAAAAAAGAGATTGTTTCAGACTACCAAAACATACTGAAAGCATAAAACCCACGAAAAGAAAGGCTAAAGGAGAATCAGCATGGACTCTTCGAAAATGAGAAGGTGCTAATGTTGGTCGATCACCATCACTAAGTGGTATGTGTCAGAGGCGGGGCTTGAAAATCACTAAAAATCATGTAGTTTGAACTTCGAATAAGCAAAATTAAAAATAGACGAATCTGGAACTCGAATAGTCCCTCATTCACCGACTTCCACTTCTGTTGAGCACATCACGGTCTTAACAGAAGTGTCGTTCTTATTCCAAATTGATTCATATCTTCCGTATATTTTATAGTAAAGCATTGCTTCGCCATTGACAATAACCAAGTGATCTCATGGAACTGCATTATCTAATGCTTGCATACGGTTTCCTGCTAAAAATTCACAATAAATTTTTTCGGAGAAAAAGCACTTATAATAACCCACCTTTTTACTGCGGATGAATATTCCATAGGAACCAACAGACCAGCTAATCTTGCAAGTATTAGCCTTGGGGGTTGAACCAGCACTTCTCAGGGATTTGCTGCTCGATTGCATACAGTCACTGGAGTAGCAATCTCTGAAAATCTCAGACCTTGTAAGATTATTTCTCAGGACCCTCCTCATAACCACACAGATATCCTTCTCAAGATCTTCCTGTTCTGAGGATCCTTCTCCTGCTTCTGCACTTCTCAATAGAATCTCTTCCGGTTGTGGATCAATAGTTGCAATAGCTTCACTCATTCTCCTTGCTACTGCTTGGTTAGTCAACCGCTTTACATACTTCCGGACGTTACGATAAAGGAAAACAGGCTTCACTTCTGCAACCAGGTTCGCTGAAACAGGACCAGCAGTCCAACAGCCTGGAATAAGGAGATAACGCGCAAGATAATCATACCAGCTGTGTATCTCTCCAGTTTCTTCCTCTATAGCACGTTTGAAAGCATTTGCAGCTTTAACTCGTGTTCGAGGGGAGAGAGGTAAAACAGAACTACTGCAGGACGGCTTACGCTCCTCATAATCAAAAGGTTCAACATCCTGTGAAAGGCTTCTGTTGAGTGCGTTGAGCATGTAATTGGGATCATTGAGACGTATAAGAAGCTTAGAAGCCTGACGAACCATAACAAAAGTGTAACAATTTGGAATGGAGTCCGCAGAGGGCAAACTTCTCAGAGACCCTTGGAAATTATTACCCTCGCCGTTTGAGTCGTCTTCAGCTTCGTCATTGGAGGAAAGAGCTTGTTGAACACAAAGTCGGAAGGCAGAGTACTGGAATTTGACTTCATTTCTTATACGCATATAACGGGTTCGCACCGGTCCACAAATATCATTGGACCTGTGAAAGGAAAAAAACAACAGCAATGTCAAATAGTTGAGATAATTTTCCCTATCTCCTTTATCTAAATTCCTTTTAGTGGGTGTGTAGAGAGGTGCTTTAGTCCACTGGTTATTGAGAAATCGCAGCAATCTACTAGGCAACGAGTTAGAAGATGAACGCCACACTTAAGTATGTCCAAAATTTTCAGGTTTCCGCAAACCAAATAGCACAAACTAATCATTAACTCCTCAACCACTTCAAGTTTGGGAAAAAAGAGGGTCAAGAGAGTTATAATCCCGCCTGAATTGATTTTTGATTCCACTTTGGTTCAGATAAACCAAATTAATACCATTTTAAAGCGCTGTTTGGCGTGAGTTAATAATCGTCCTAACGTAGCAAGGCCTTTACTTACTGCATTGTGAAAGCAGCAAGAGATGCTTTAATTAACTGTGGGTAGTCTGAGAAGATTCGCATTCCTTTTTGTGAATAAAAAGTAAACACTAATTAGGTGAGATGACAATTACGACTTATTACAGATTAAATTAACTCACATAGGAATGAATCTCGCTTCACTAACCCCCTCCATAATTCTCTCCGAATCATTGCGAGAGCGGCTGCCGCTTGGTTTGAAGTAATTCTTGAATTCTTCGGTCAGTCGACAGCTGACCTCATCTCCGAGAGTTATTGCTTGGAGTTGCTTCACGAGAGTCATTACAATGCGGTCCATGGTAAACCAGGGATAGGCGTAGATACCAAACATATCCCGCAGTCTATCTTCATAGGTATGAGCGTCTTCACAACCATCTAGCACCTCTTTGACTAGGTTCAACGCCAGTGCATAGTACTCTCCAGGCTCCTTGTCATCTATTAGAAGGGGTAATAAGAGGTAATACTAGGAATTTGATTTGGCGCTTCACTTGGTGGTGAGTTAACTACGAAAGGTCCAAATTATCGATCAGAAAAAAAGCCAATACATGACGACAGCTACAATGTGACCAGCAAGGAACCACAAGACATGATGAAGAATACCAAATTGCATCTGGCCATTTATAACGCTTATCCGGGTGGAATAAAACGTCATGCAAACGAATAGACTAAATATTACGAACCTTTCTTCCGCAATGACAGGATGTTGGAAACTTGTTCGTTGCTTCTGTTCTCTTCTCTATACTCCTTTTGCATGACTTCTGCTCTCGTCCTCAATAAGAAGAGGCGTGTAAAGAGGAGGTGGTGCATTCTGAGGAAGGAGTACAAATGATTATTTCCCATTATAAAACAATAGCACTCCTCTTGAGAACCACTTGGAGTTTGTTGATCATCGGGTCCTCCTTGTGATGGCTTGTATTGAGATGTCATGCCCTTCACAATTTTTCTCTAAAAAGAATCCAGACAAAAAGAAAGCACAAAAGTAGCCACCTGCGAGGAAAGAAGAGACCTTTCAAAGTGGGCGAAAGGAAATATCAAAATTATTGAAAAATTAGGCATCGCCTTTTCAAATTCTTAACCTTGGCATAAACTCAACATTAATTAAGTAAATAAGTGACTTATTAATATCAAATGACGTTAAGGCTAAAAAGAACTCGTTACAAAATACAAATGATTCTGTCACATAATGTTATCTAATATATTTCAAGTGCTTTCGGGGTACCATACACGTTACCCTTCGACCGCACGTCCCTCTTCTGTTCTGCCAGATCATATCTTTCCTGATTTCTCTTATAAATTTGATAAAACTTGTCCGTAGCATAATCAAAATAGACAATGCGATTTATGTATGAAAGGCAAAATGGGGAAAAATAAGAACAAGTATAATGAACAGTGATAAGAGGCGCGCATCCTATCAGACGAACGTGTGAAGACGAGTTTACGCTCAGAACCAGCTGCATCCCCATGTTTAGTTTCCTCATGGAGCCATCCACGTTTTTGAACCTTCCAATGGCACAGACGCTGGTGCCCTCAATCTCTACCATATTGCTACTGAAGGCTGATTAACTCCAGTTAAAGCGTTTCATATGGAATCTGAGTATTATTATAATTACTATAATTCAAGTGTACGCAACTCACCCTAGAATGCTTTCGAGATTGTGCCCTCGATTCACCCTTTTCTGAGGCAGCTGGAGATACATCGACCTCCATACTTTCCATCTGATTTGGACATTCTCTGACTCGCCGAGAAATGCTAGCAGTAACACTTCCATCTTTATTATCAATTTCTTCACCGCCTGCCTGAACCACTTCTCTTCTACTAGCGTCTTCCTCTAAATAACCGCCATGTCCATCCTCATCTTCCTCTGCTTCGTCGTCAGACATTGGGAAACGCTCTTGCATGAAGAGATCCTGAAGAACTGTGCGCATCTATTTCAAAGGGAAAAGTGCAAGAAGAATCAACAGACATCAAGCTTAGACCACTCTGGGGGGGGGACTTTAGTTTTCTTCCACAAAGAAGCCCTGGGGCATATAAAATTAACTACTTCACAATTAAACCTTAAAAATTAAAGCACTACTATGTACAGTTCACTTGTCCTAAATATTTCAAGGCTCCATAACGGAAGATATGAGACTGCATTTTAAATAGCTTTCACACTCAGTCAAATGTAGCGCCTACAGACTCTCTGGACGTAGACTAATTCTCTCCCCAAGCCTCCCATATGACAGTTGCTTGTTGAAATAAACTAAGAGGGAATGCAATCAAAACGTGCTGTGGTTGGGTTATGTAGGCATTTGCGTATATCCCGAGTAGTTCCATTTGTACCATTGTAACATTACCAAGGCTGTCAAGCAACATTAACAAAGACCATGATACTCTATACATACCAAACGATTCTATAAGGACGCTAATAGCATGGAACTTTTATTTTACTGAAGAAAATATCAAAAAAAGATAAACAATTACAGACATTTGAACCATGGAACACGAGGACAATATGAAATGAATTTCACTCGTCAAGACACAAGAAGAGACAACCGGATGAATGCAAAAGTGCAATAAAAACTCACGATGAAATGACTGTGCTCTCAACTTCCATATCACTTTGGCCTTTGGATCACTACACCAATCGTTAAAATTAGATGCTTTCTTGCGGTTAATAATTATAATACTTTGCTGTGGAGACTAATTCGTAGTCAAAGCTAGCAAAGTACCCCGGGGGGGGGGGGATTCGATTCGGCTTTTAAGATGAATTAGTTTCAATAAAGCTTCTTTGTTAAAAATAAGCAACTTAATCAATTTTTATCAAACTGAACACCGTCGACAACACTACTTTTATACACACCAAAACAGGTAGAAGGCAAATTGATTTTCTTTGCAATTCTCAATTTCTAAACCAATCCAATCGAACTACTTCTTATTAGAATGGCCAGATGTCTCCACGTACATAATTAGGTATTTTAACTAGGTTTCGGCGATTCTCTTATAAAAACGTAGAGTTCTATCAAGCACGCAGTTTATCACTCTAACCTCTCTGAAACTTTTTAGAATAGCGAATTAAACTCATACGACGCTTAAAAGAGGACGTATAGTATTCGTATAAATGCATACGCGTATTTTACACAAAAGCACTCACGAAGTACTTCATTGACCTCTTATCTTCTTTGCTAGTATTTTGCCTTTTGAGGTGATGTATGATGAGTGATGCGACATCCTGAAGTAGAGATGCACATGTCTCCGGAGGTGGATATTCAAGAGTCATATGCATTGACCCATTCTCCCCATTACCTTCAACGACATAATTAAGGACCGCGCCAAGTGTTGAGGGGCTGACGGGTTTTAGAGGAGCAGAGCCCATACTTAGGCCCTTTTCCAGCATTGCTGCAACGTTATCACCGCCAATTAAATCAGTACAAGCAGCCTAAAAAGGAGAGAAACCGAAAAGTAAATTTAATGTTACTCACGCTCATGTGCACTATCCCACCTCGAGGCAGCAATTTGATGAAATTACTGTTGTATTGCCAGTTATTATGGTAAACAAACAGGGGTGTGCCATAGACTTACCTCTACGTGGTGCCCCCTGGGCAACGTATACTCATGTGGCAAAGTCCATTTACCGGCAGTTGACTTCTGACTTCAAACTACCATGACCCCACTGTATGTCATATTCGACCCCTACCACAGTACTCATCTTACCCTTTCTGAGCCTTTGTGTCTGTCTATTTCTTTTACATCTGTGAATCACTCTTCTATTCCCCCTCCCGAATTCTTCTCACTTTGATGTTCCTCCTCCCCTCTGTGAAGCTTGAAGTCAACTAAAGGGCTAATGAAAACTATCAAAACGCCTGCCATTTGTTATAAAAAATGTCAAAAGGGGCAACTCAGCTTCTGATCGATTACTAACTAATGAAACAAAATAAAAAACACAAACGTATACAGCAATGTTCGCTTTTATTTGTGTTCATGTTTATCGTTTATATAAAGCTGTAGACTCACAAAACCTAACTTTAAATAACCAGCAAAAGTAAACATAAAAATCTGGATAAAGTAGTCAATATTTTGCATTAGCATTTCAGTTATAAAACGATTCACTCATATTAAGTATCAAATCTGATAATGTTTTTCATCCCCAAGAATGGCATTTTGTGAAAAGATTTTAGTAAAACTTACCAAAGTTAATGAAAAATGTACATCACACTGGGGGGGGGGGGGTATTAACCCGCAATAACGAGAAATTAAAAAAATTAAAACCTATTTTAAAAAAACCGAATTAAATCTTTTCTAACGTTTAAATGTCATAGACATAAGCGCCTCAATCACATAGACAACAGAGTATTGGGAAAAATTACACTGAAAGCTTGGGCCAATTAACCTTAGCCAAAACAACACCACCCAATGTTAGATTAAATATTGACAACAATGGCTAAGTTTTGAATGTGCTCGTCCTTGAAGCAAGAAGTCGTGGGCTCGACACCAATACAAGCATACCAAGTGGGCAATAGATAAATTTAACTAACAAAGGGTTCTCAGAAAGACTCAGTGAAAAAAACGCTTCCCTAATGGTCATGGTCTTAATTAATAAGCACTCACTCTTCATGGGCAATACAGCATTCAAAACAATGAAACCACCAATACAACTATCTTCATGCATTTATAAACAAATCAATAATAATTGGTTGAATGAAAATTAAATTGAGAAAATTACCCTTTCACCTCGTGCAATATTCTCAATAGCACAGATGGCAGCCTTAGGACGAAGGAGGTGGTTGTCACGATTTCTAAAGTGATTTCCCTGGTGATCGAGTGAACGGAGATAGTTCTTTGAGTCTTGCTCTCCCCAATGCTGCTGGAACTTTCTCAAAGATTCACTCCATTCAGCCTCCTTTTGATTCATACGTTGAATCACTATTGGAACAACGGTATGTGGACAGTTCTTCAATCCATGGATAACGTCCACAGCTTTGTCCCCATAGACCCTGGAGGAATAAATGGACTCGGCATTAAATCTCCCCCCTCTCCAATGATCGCAGCTCGTTCAAAGTCAATAAAAAGACTGTGGGAGTTAATAATCCTGAAGAGGAAGTCTTATTTCGAAGTAGATGTCGTCACAAACACTGTTTTAGTGAGTAGAGAGAGCGAGGTGGTCTCGGACTCTTCTAATACTAAGTTAGCACACAACAATCAATTGCATACAATGTGCAAAGGACGAGAGCGAACAGACAGTGTTGTGCCTAAATAGTGGGCGGCAGATTCAGACTTTCAACTAAGGCATAAAGTACTCTATATGTCTGATAGGTGGAGAATGTTGTCTCAAAATAAACCAGATTCGAGGCCGCTGAAATAGTGAAAATAGAGGAAAAGAAGTTGATCGACATAAGCAGGTCGATATAAGCGTAAGTTTTTAGCTTTAACTACAAAGCCGTCTAAACTGCAGATAATTAAGGGAAGCCCTAAAAAAGGAGCATTATTAAGGTAAAAAATAATTCATTCCACCCTTCGAAATATTTCAGATTAATGGAGGCTACAAAAATATTTACAGAAGAAAACAGCAATTAAAGGACACCTACAAATACTTAAACAATGAGCAGCAGTTTCATTATAAAAATATTCAAACTACTTATTCGCAAAAGTTAATACTTCTTATTACCCACATCAAAACTTAATTACTTCACACTGTTTTCATTCCCGGAGAAGTATTCAAGCAAACAAATGGGAAAAAATCCCTCAAATAGACACAGATTAGTTGTAGCAAAACTACCAAAAACTTAAATAGTTCATCAGTGATGGAAATTCAGCTGCTTCATTTTCGTTAAGTGGTAAGACCTTGGAATCTAGAGTTCACCATCTGGTACATTGAAATGCCCATCTATTTACAGCCAGCACAAATCAAATACAACAATTGGCCTGTGACAAAATTAATGAAAATGCGTATGGCTAAGCGCTATTTAAATTATACCACAACCACGCTTACCTCAACTGATGAAAATAATGCATATGGTGTAATTCCCCATGTAGAGCAACTACTGCTATCCCCCC